GAAAAGATGCTCACTATTACAAGCCATTAGAAAGTTGCAAATTAAAGCCACAATGAGATACCACTTCACACCGTGAGAATGCCCATGATAAACAAAGCAGCAAACAAGTGTTGGAGAGATTACAGAGAAAAGGGAGCCCTAGTGCACTGTTGGTGGGAATGCAGACTGGTGCAACCACTATGTAAAACAGTGTGGAATTTCTTCCAAAAACTAAAAACGGAACTGCCTTTTGACTCAACAATTCCACTGCTGGGATTATACCCTAAGAGCCCTGAAACACCAATCCAAAAGAACCTATGCACCCCAATGTTCATAACAGCACAATTTACAATAGGCAAGTACTAGAAGCAACCTGAGTGCCCATCAGTAAATGAATGGGTCAAAGAACTATGGCACATTTACACAATAGAATTCTGTGGAACAGAGAGAAGAAGGAGCTCCTACCCTTTGTGACAGCATGGATGGAACTTGAGAACATTATGGTAAGAACAGGTGGTGAGGGAAAAATACCATATGATCTCACCTTTAACTGGAACCTACTCAACAAAAGAAAAAAGCAAGCAAAATGTAACCAGAGACATTGAAATTAAGAACAATCTGACATTAACCAGAGGGGAGGTGGGAAGGGATAAGAGTGGGGGCAAGGGTTTTCAGGAACAACTACAAAGGACACATGGACAAAACCAAGGAGGTGGGGTGGAAGCAAGGGAGGTAGGTTTGGCTGGGGTGGGGGGTAAATGCAGACAACAGTAATTGAACAACAATAAAATAATTAAAAGCAAATGAACAAATGTGCAAAATAATATGCTACTTTTTGTGTATGGGGAAAATAAAAAAAGGAAAAAATGTATGTATCTGCTCATTTTTGCCAAAAACAAACACAAACAAACAAATAAACCATGGTTGGAATAAGCCAGAATGGAGATGGAAAGAATATGGTGGAAAAGAGAGTGGGTGTGTGGAGGTAGAATCATTGATATATATATCATATATATATATTCCATTTTAAAAAGAATTTACAAATGTTTTCCAAACTAGTTCTATTGTTTCTTACTCCCATCAACAATATATGGGAGTTCTAGTTGCTTCACAGTCTCTCAACATTTGGTTCTGTCATTTTATTATCTTGTATGTATTCCATGCTATCCCATTCTGATAATGTGTACTGTTATCTCACTGTGGATTTTTAAAATTTATTTATTTTTAGTTCATTTTTTCTCTATTTTGATTGTTGACACTATTGCAGATGTCTCCATCCTGCCCCCACCTCCTCCTTTTCTCTGGCTGTCACTGCACTGTCGTCTCTGTGTCCACGGGTTATGCACATACATTTTTTGACTCATCCCTTCAACTTGTTTCATCCCCACCTCTGACAGCTGTCAGGCTGTTCCATAATTTTCATGATGCTAAGCACTTCTTCATTTATTGCCCATTCATTTATATAGGATATATTTTGTTAAATTTTTATTTGGCATTTGATGTTTCTCATGCCATGTTAAATTGCATTGCATTTAGTTTTATTTTAAAATTATTTTTGGTTGAAAATAAAAATGCCTTTAGTTCTATATAGTAATATTTTATCTAATGTTCTTTCCAAAGGTCTCAAAGACTCCACTTCTAAATAAGGTCATCTGCACAAGTACAGGAGATAAAAACTTTAATGTGTATTTTAAGGAATTACAATTCAACTCATAAGAGATATGTATATGTAAAAAAAACCCCCCTTAAACTGCACACCTTATAAAAATCTCATTCAAAATAAATTATAAATATGAATGTAAAATGTTAAATAAACATTTAGCAAAATCATTTTAAAATGTTTGTGATCTTTTTATAAATTATTTATCGATGGCATTCTATTTATTTTATATTGATTTTGAGAGAGAGAGAGAGAGAGAGAGACTAATTTGTTGTTTCATTATTTATGCATTCATTGATTTCTTCTTGTATGTGCTATGACTGGGGATTGACCCCACAACCTTGATGTATCAGGATGATCCTCCAAACAACCGAGCAACCTGTCTAGGGCTCATAATTTTTCATTAGGCATATGATTATTATATCACCAGAAGGATGAGAAGAAAACAAAAGATAAAATAGAGTTCGTCAATATGAAAATATTTTTCTGCAAAATATACTGTTAACAGAATGATAACAAACTTCAGGCTGAGAGTAAATATTTGCTACATACATAGTTAACAAAGAACTTGTGTCTAGAATATATAAAAAATTCTTAAAACTCAACATAGGAAAATATGCATCTGCCTCCCAAAATAGACAAAAGATTTCAGAAGTAGACACACAAATATATTCAACTGTTCTCTAACAAAGGAGCAAAGGTAATTCAACAAAGAAAGGACAGTCTTTTCAATTAATGGTGTTGAAACAACTGGACACCCACATGCAGAAAATAAGTGTAAAAACAGACCTTAAACTTTCATAAAGATAACTCAAAATTGATCATAGAACTAAATGTAAAATTCAAAACTATAAAACTTCTAGAATGTAACATTTGAGAAAACCTGCATGAACTTGGATTTAGCTATTACATTTTAGGTATGATACTGAAAACATGATCCATGAAAGAAAAAAATAAGTAGCACTTCATTAAAATGAAAAACATCTTCTCTGAGAAAGACACTGTTCAGAAAATGAAAAGATAAGCCACAGACTGAAAAAAAAACTTTTCTAAAACATAAAACTGACAAAAGGCTTGTATCCAAAATATATAAAGAACACTTATAACTCAATTTAAAAATAGTTAAAAATTAGTAGAAGATCCAAACAGATATGCTACCAATGGGGTATAAGCATATGAAAAGAGGTTTAACATCACGTGTCATTAAGGAATTCTAAATTAAAACAACAAGATACCCCCATACACCTATTAGAATAGCTAAAATCCAAAACACTGACAATAGCAAATGCTGGAAAGGATATGATGCAATAGGATTCAGCATCCACTGCTGGTCATTTTATGATACAATACAGCAACTGTATTTATTTAATGAGCTGGCAATGCATAGCTACATAATGATCTGCACATAAGTGTTTACATCAGCTTTATTTATGTTGTCCAAAATTTGGAAGGAACCAAAGTGTCTTTATTAAAATTTTTTATTGTTAACACTATTACAAATGTCCCTCATTTCTGCACCCTTTCCGCTGTCCCCCACTGGCCTTTGCTGCACTGTTTTCTGTGTCCATGGGCTTTGCATATACACACACGTGTTCTTCGGGTAATCTCTCCCAGTCCCCCCCAACACCCCTCATGTCTGAGATCTGTCAGTCTGTTTCATGTATCTACACCTGTGGTTTTATCTTGTCATTTTATTTTGTTCATTTGATCCCGTATGTGAGTGACATCATATAGTATTTGGTTTTCTCTGGCTGGCTCCTGAAGATATTATGCTAAGCAAAATAAGCCAGTCAGAGAAAAACAAAATGCCTTTGATTAGAAGAATGGGTAAACAAATTGTGTTACATCTTTATGATGATAAAATATTATTTGGCAATAATAAGTGAACTTTCAAACCACAAACCAAATGGAAGAAACTTAGAGACATTTTTCTATATGATAACAACTATATTACATTCAGGAGAAGGCAAAACTGTAGAGACCTTGAAAAGGTTGGTGGCTGTCTGAGAGTCAGGGAGAGAAGGAAAGGACAAGCGGAGCACTGGGCATTTTTGGGAGAGTAATACTATTTCGATACTATAATGATGGATACATGACATTAAGCATTTTAACCTCCCCCCTCAGAAAACTGTATAACACAACAATGAACCCTAATGTAAATAGTGGGATTTACTTAATAATAATGTATTGACTCATTAGTTATAATAAATATACTAGACTAATGCAGGATGTCATTAGGTGAACCTGTGAAGGGAAGAGGGAATATATGTGACCCTTCTGTACTCTCTGCACAATTTTTTTGTAAACCTAAAACTGCTCTAAAAAATAAAAGCTAATAAAATGTTTAGAAAAAAAAGAAAATAGAATAAAGATTTGAACAGATACCAAGAAGACATACAAATAGTAAATAAGACATAAAGAAGCTCAGCATCATTCACCATTACAGAAATTCAAATACAGAAACTTTGAGATGCTACAAATAATAAAATAAAAATGAACAAAAAAGCAAAACTGACAATTCTAGGTGCTACTAAGGAGGTGGAGCAACTGGACCTCTGGTACATTTCTAGTGGGAATGCACATGGTGTAGCCATTCTGGAAAGAGTAGCAGTTTCTTATAAAGTTCAAACAGCTCTTAAAATATGACCCAGTAACTCCATTTTAAGATATTTACCCACAGAAAAGTGAAAACTGATATTCACACAAAAATACTTACTAAATGTTTATAGCAGTTTTCTATATAATCACCCAAAGTGGAAATAACACAAATATTTTTCAGTTGGTAAATGAGCAAATTGAGATACATTTATTCAATGGAATAATATTCAGCAAATAATAGGAATGAAGTATTAATACCTACATGAATAAACATCAAAAGGCTTATTCTGATAAAATAAGCCAATCTCAAAAGATAACATACTATCTGGTTCTGTTTATGTGATATCTTAGAAACTTCAAAAATATAGGGACAGAAATCTGATCAATTGCTGCCAGATTAGGTGTTTATAAAGATTTGACTACAAAAGAATAGCATAAAAGAATTTATTGGGAAAATGGAACTGTCTTGTATTCTGAATGTAGTAGTGTCTACATAAGTTTATACACATGTTAAAACTCATAAGACTATATTTTAAAAAGTCAATTTTACTTTACTTGCATTAAAAAAATGCCCCTGTAAAATATAAAGGGTGGTGAAAAAAGACAGAAGTGGATCACTATTTCATATGGAAATGAAGAGAGTAAACATAAGGATGTCATATAGGTGACGTTCAAGTATAGGAAGCTGAAGGATAAACTTGAAAACCTTTGTTTTCCTTGGAATATCATACTAAGTTATTCAACAGAAAATTTCAATCATTCATTTATTTAAAACTAATTTTATTTTCCTGCTTATCATTTTAAAAACAGTACAAAACCCAATGGTACAAAAGACTATTTAATGAAAAGTTATTCTCTCTATATTTCTACCTTTGTCAAATATTCTAGAAATTTCAACACTATGATCACAAAAACTAGTTTCTTGTATTTTATACTGATATATGACTATATTACATAAGTGTGTATATACCATGTATATATATATATATATATAATTAAACATACCAGAAGCAATGCTACACCATGATTTTGGGGAACCACTTTTGAAAGACATAAAATGTTAGGGAGAACCACAGAAAATGATAAGGAAAATAATTTGCTTTTTGTATGAGAGAATTAATGTCATGACTAGGTTGTTCAATCCACACTGACTTGCAGGCTATGTGATCCTCCTTGTACAGGTGTGAAACCACAGTGAAGGTTATCATCAGGCTGGGCTGCTTAGGGCACTGGACAGATGGTTAAATGTCCTGGATCACTGGAGAAAAGCCTGAAAAAAGGTCTTAATGGCCCTTCAAAGGAACATTGAGAAAAAGTGTGAATATGAGATTTATCTATCATATTATAGAATGAGATGAGCCCATCCTCACATTCTAGGAAAATGCACACTCTGGTCAGGCGCTCTTTCTGAAAAAGCTTTGTTTCTAGAGAGGTGAGTGCCCAGTACTCATCCTTATAAAACCTGATGGCCCAGAAACCATTCTGTGGTTTTATGGAAATCTTCCCCTCCCTAGTTACATTGTTTCTACAAATTCCCAGGTCCCAGGCTTCACTGTGTTCGACTTCTACCTCCCAGTAGCATCTTCTTGAAGAGATGACGTGATGACCCAACACACAAGGAAGAGAGTGAAATCGCTGCGGGTTCTTAGGTAGATCTTGAGACTCCTTTCCCAAGGTTACACGTTTATTCCCTTCAGACAAGATGAGGGCAGGATGGGCTGTGTCTGGATCCAGAATAACATTCACTGCAAAGAAAATAACCCTTTTAATCTCTGAAAAGGATACAGTGATCTGGAAGTGGAGATATCTGTATTAGCCTGAGATATCTTGGGGCTTCTGGGAGGTGCATACATCCCTGGGTAGAGATGGCCATCTGCCCTCCAGCACTTTCTTCTGAGACTGAGCCTCAGCATAAGGAGTAGGATCAGAAGCAGAATCTTTGTTACACCATCAGGAAATGACTCACCAGCCTGGTAAAATTCTTTCCTCCAGTCTGAAAAGAACACAAATATGAATGATCAGAACTAGTATTTGAGTTTCCTGGCAGAAGAGCTAATTTCTTCTATTACTGTTTTTGCTAATATCCCAAATTTTTTGGCAGTGTTTTGACCTGAAGTTTCCACTGCTTTTCTTATTAACTTCTTCCATAAGAATTAGTTCCTTTAACTTATATTTTCTGTAGTCCAGACTACAGGTGTTCCCAAGATAGAGTTTTCCTCTTCTTGAACAAACAACAAAAGTACATGTTGCCCATGAGCACCCCAAATTCACTTTCATGAGAGGGTGTGACTGACTTGTGGCCAATGAAATGTTCACAACAGAGATTCATATCATTTCTAGGCTTGAAAATAAAATAGTCTGTATAATTTATATTATTCTCATTCTATTTATAACACTCCTTAACCCTCCCTAGGCTTCAATGCCAGAAGCAAAGGCACTAAAAATGGAGAAGAGAGAAGACTAAAAAAAAACCCCTATGTCTCAGATTTACTGTTTAGAAGAGAGTTGACCAGCAGAGTCACTAACCCTGGCATATTCACAGTATAATTTGTATGAGTGACAAATATCAAACAGTTGTGTTAATTCACAAAAATATTGTTTAGTTTTTGTAAATATCAAAGTTAATTACACTGCTCAACGCAGAAAGTTCTAGCATAAAATGAAAATGAAGTACTGTTACAAACATTTTAAATGCATGGTTTTGGTTAGGCTTAGGCAGTAGGTGTGACAAACATAAAACCAACTGCATACGTGGATATCCATGACAGGCAGCAACTAAGCTTTTGCTAATACTGTGGCCTGTGATGGGTTGGAAAGCATAAAATGTGCCCTGCATAGACTGTAGACCTAAAGAAAGAGAACATTCATTGGATCTGTGATTGAAATTCTACTAAAAATCTATTTACTTTGAAATAATAATTCAACTTGCTTTCAACCATAAATGAAAATAAATGAAATATTATAAAAATGGGTAACTTTCAGAGTTTAAAAGATGATTTTTTTCCTCAACCAAGAGTCAGCAAACTATGGCCCATAAGGCAAATCCAGCCCACTGCTTGTTTTTATAAATAGAGTTTAATTAGTAGACGATCATGGTAATGGCTGCTTTTATATTTAAAAGGCACAGCTGAGTAATTGTTACAGAGACATATAGCCAATGTTTGTTGTATATCCAACAATATTTACCATCTGGCCCTGTATATAACAAGTATGAAAATGCTTTTATAAATCATCCCAAATAAAAGATGAAATTAAAGAGTACACTTTAGCACAAAAAATGTGCAATTTTTTTTTATTGAACAATGTACCTTAGTGAAAAGAACAGATTAATATCATGGACTTTTCACAATTGTTTCAGGTAGCTTCTAGAGAGAAACCATAAAAGGACAGAAATATAAATAAGACTGACAAATATGTCTACTGTTGTAATTGGTATTTTGTTGTTGACATATGAAACTAAGTGATTAGAAATGCATGAGAAGCTGCCTAAATTTGGAGGAAAATGTTGTTAAAAATAACAGGAAGATGGCTTCCAGAATGGCTAAGTGAATAGCTCGGCAAATCTTCTCTCTGAAAGAAATAACACTGGAAAAGTTTTCAAAATGACTACTTTAAAATTGTATAGACACTTATTCAAAGAGGATATACAGATAACCAATAGATATATGAAAAGATGCTCAATGTTACTAATCATCAGAGAGATGCAAATTAAAACCACAATGAGATTATTATCTCACAGCTGTCAGAATGGCTACCATCAATAAATCAACAAACCACAAGTGCTGGCAAGGATGTGCAGAAAGGGGAAACACTTTTGCACTGTTGGTGGGAATGCAGATTGGTGCAGCCACTGTGGAAAGCTCTATGGAGACACCTCAAAAAATTAAAAATAGATCTGCCTTTTGACCCAGCAATCCCACTTCTGGGAATATATCCAAAGGAACCCAATTCAAAAAACCATAAGCATCCCTATGTTCATTACAGCATTATTTACAATCACCAAGATATGGAAGTGGCCCAAGTGTCCAATAGTAGAAGAGTGGAAACATCAACCATGGGACATTTACACAATGAAATACTACTTGTCCATAAAATGAGAAAATTTTACCCTTTGTAACAGTATGGATGGACCTGGAGAACATGATGCTAAGTGAAGTAAGCCAGCCATAGAAAAACAAATACCATATGATTTCACTTGTGTGTGGAATCTAATGAACAAACTGAACTAACAAAGAAAATGGGGACAGACTCACAGATGGAGAGCAGGATGATGGCTGTGGGGAAGTGAGGGGGTGGAGGGATTGAGCAAAAAGGAAAAAGGACTCACACCCATGGACAACAGTGTGCTGATTGCTGGGGGGAGGTGGTGTATAAGGGGACTAAATGGCAATGAGAAAAAAGATTATAAAAACTATTCAGTAAAAAAAAGAAGCTAGAAGTAAAAGGCCAGGTTTATGACTCAACTCTGCCAAATCTCTGTTTGCATATAATTGAGAATATGCTTATTATTGGACATCACTATGAAACCTTTAATTTACCACATTCATGTGAATCTCACCTAATTACCTCATATTTCAATAAGCAGCATGTCTCGTAATAAATAAATTAAATTTTAAAAATTGACAAAAGAACACATCAAATTGAGAAACACTAATTTAAGAACAATTATTTTAAATGATTAATAAAAGGATGTTGATAAAAAATGTTCCTGCCCTAGCCATGTGGCTAAGTTAGTTAGAGCATTGTCCCATACACCAAAAGGTTGCAGGTTTGATTCCTGGTTAGGGCACATGCTTAGGTTGTATCTGAACTCCGACTAGGGTGCATACTGGAGGCAACAGGTCAATGTTTCTCACATTGATGTTTCTTTCTCTCTCTCTCTCCCCTCTGTCTCTCCCCCTCTCTCTAAAAAATGAATAAATATATCCTTGTGTGAAAGTTTAAAGGAAAAAGATGTTCTTAATTACAATTGAATTAAGTTCAAAATAAAAGTAATTTTAAAAAATAAAAAATTTGGAAGTGAAATAATACTTATATAATATATATTCTGTCTTAAAAGAAATCAGGAAAGAATTTAGAAAATTTTCATATAAACAAATGCTCAACATTGCTAGCCATTAGAATGATACAAATTCAAACCACAAAGAGATAGCACTTCACACCTGCCAAAATGGTTATCTTCAATAAATTAACAAACAAGAAGTACTGGCAAGGGGGTGGAGAGAAGAGAACCCTAGTGCACTGTTAATGGAAATGTAGACTGGTATAGACACTGTGGAAAAAACAGCATTGAATTTCCTCAAAAAGTTAAAAATGGAACTGCCTTTGACCCAGCAATTCCACTGCTGGGCATATCCCTAAGAATCCTGAAATAAAAATATGAAAGAACTTATGCATCCCTATGTTTACAGCAGCAGAATTTACAATAGCCAAAAGTTGGAAACAGCCTAAGTTCCCATCAGTGATGAGTGGATTAAAAAAACTGTGGTACACTTACACAGCGGGATACTCCACAGCAGAAAGAAAGAAGGAATTCCTACCTTTTGTGACAACATGGATGGAACTAGAGACTGTCATGCTAAGTGAAATAAGCCAGTTGGTGAAAGACAAATACCATATGATCTCACTTATGAGAGGAATCTAATGAACAAAATAAACTAATTAGCAAAATAGAACCAGAGGCATAGAATCATGGAATTAGACTGACAGTGGTAAGAGGGTGGAGGATGGGGGGACTCTTTGAAAGCAGGTGAAGAGATTAGTCAAGGAATGTATATGAAGGATCCTTGGACATGGACAATGGGGTGTGGATTGACTATGGAAATAGTGGGAGGGCTAGGCAGAGAGAGGTGAAGGAAGAAATAATCAGAACAACTGTAAAACATAAAATTATAAATAAATAAATAAATAAATAAATAAATAAATAAATAAATATCTTGTAAAGGTCCATAAACCCAAACAAGCCATGGCTGGCCTCAGTATGCTGTGTTCCTCTTACCAAGCAGCCCCAAACATGGTCCTACAGTCAGCTAGTTTTAGTTCACATCATAACTACTCTCAGGTTCCTCCAAGTACATCACAGGCAGATACCAATTTCCAACTACTTTGTAACTCTTACCATGTAGCCTCAGGCTGGACACAGGCTGTGGCTGACTTTGGCTACAGTGAAGTCACTTCCTAGACGCCCCAGAACAAACACACCCATTGGCTAGTTGCAGACCACATCAGAACACCATCCAATTAGCCTCCCAAATGACATATCCTAAGGGTGGACCTGGCAGGCACCGGAGCACTGCTACAGCAGATATCACTCACTGGGGTCAGCCCCACACAAAAGAGTGTCTGCTTCATAGTGGGCTCTCACAGCCAGTCAGCCTAAGGGTCAATCCTACCCAGTGTAATGCCAACAGCAATCACAACTCAACTACAACAGAAAAGCACACACAACCCTCACAAATAACAACCCTGGAGCTGCCAGCTCTGGTGATGTGGGAGTCTAAACCACTGGGCCCCAAAGAACTACTAACACATAAAACCACTCTGCCAAGACTGGAGACATAGCAGATCTACCTAACACACAGACACAGAAAGAGAGGTAGCTAAAATGAGGACACAAAGAAACATGTCTCAAATGAAAGAACGGAACAAAACTCCAGAAAAAGAACAAACAAACAAACAAAAAAGAAGAAAGTATTTTACCAGATGCAGAGCTCAAAATACTGATTTCAAGAATGCCAAATAAAGTTAGGGAAAGAATAGATTAACTTAGTGACAACTTCAATGAAGAGATAGGAAACTAAAAAAAAAGATAGAAAACATTTTTTAAAAGTTATATAGAAAGTATACAATAACTGAAATGAAGAATATATTAGATGGAATCAATAGCAGATTAGTTGCACAAAATAAAATCAGTGATTTGGAATATAAGGTAGTAGAAAACATCCAATCAGAACAGTAAAAAGGTGAATTAAAAAATTATTGTAAGTTAAGAGACCTCTGGACAACACCAAGAATAACGACATTCACATCCTGGAAGTACCAGAATGAGACAAGAGCGAGCAAGGGATTGGGAACCTATCTGAAAAAATATTGACTGAAAACTTTTCTAATCTGGTGAAGGAAATAGACACACAAGTCCAGGAAGTGCAGAGAATTCCAAACAAGAAGAACCCAAAGACACCCACATCAATACACATAATAATTAAAATGTCAAAAGAGAGATTCTTAAAAACAGCAAAGGTAAAGCAGTTGCACAATCATGTGTATATGAAGGTTTCTAGCAAAACTGTTCATAAGACTTCAAAAGTGTAAGTATTCTAAATGTCTGTCTATGCAAAGTAAATAAGCATCATGTGGCATATCCATACAATGGAATACAGTATTGCAATAAAAAAAACAAACTACAGAAACAAGCTAAAACATGAATTTCAAAACATGCTAGGTGAAAGAAACAAGAGATTAAAAAAATCCCCATAGTTATAGGCTTTAAATTATATGTGTCCAGAAAAGATAAATTTTCTGGAAACAAAAAATGGCTGAAAATGGAGATGAATGATCTGTTTGGGGTGATAGAGACCTTTTAAAAGAGGATTTGGTGATGGTTATTCAACTATGTAAATGTACTAAAAATCATTACATTGATTTTTTAAATGAGTGAATATTTAAAATAATATAGCTTTTTCAAAATGCAAGCTCAGAAGAAATTCTTTAAACATAAAAGCTGCAAAACATATTTTGTAACACTGAATTTTCACAAGCTAGAAGTGTTCTTTGATACTATACATTTGATATGGGGTAGATCCAAGGGTCACTAAGGACAATAGGAAGCAAGTTATATCTCAAGATATAATCAGGAAAATTCTAACTTCAGAATAGAGAGCATTCATTGTATCTGCCTTGTGGGACTCCTTAGTGCTGTTTAGATGATGCCTCTTGTGTTTTCTCCTTTCTCATTTAAAACAGAAATTTTACCCCATATTTTATTGTAGTTTATTTCAGTATGGAATGGAGGATGTCAACAAATCTGCTCTCCTAGCACATAAATTATAAGCTCCAAAGGAGTTACCTTCAGACTCAAGGAAGAGGACTAGGTCTCTCTTACAGATTGGCTTTTGAGATAGTTGCAGTGATGGGATGGACCCTTGCCTCAGCTTTTTGAGGAAGGACTGAGTGAATTACATACATGAAAAAAAGTATGAAATTGATCTTTGATGACCAGCAAGAAAGCATTTGTAGAGATTGCTAGACTCTAGTAATAGTCACTCTGTTCAGTTTTCTGGTCGAACAACTAAACATTTTCTAGCTCCCCCACTGTCTAGGTGAAGCAATGTGATTGAGAACTGGTCTATGTAGGCAGAAGTGATAAATGTTCTCACAATTTCTGTCACAAAAACATTTTTCTTTGGTGATCTTCAAATTTCTTCTTCTCCAAAAAATTGGTTGAAATTGAAGGATGTCTAGAATATGGAGAAGGATATCTAGAATATTGAGAAGGATATCTAGAATATTGAGAAGGATATCTAGAATATTGAGGATATCTACAAAATAGAAAAAGTCCAGATTAAAAGAATTGCATGGAGGGCATCTTTCAAGTAGAGTTTTTTGACCAGAGTATTTGTGTATACATAAGAAATACATTTCAGCTCTGGTTGGTGTGGCTAGGTGGACTGAGTGCCAGCCTGTGAACCAAAGGGTCACCAGTTCGATTCCCAGTCAGGGCACATGTCTGGGTTGTCAGCCAAGTCCCCAGTAGGGGGCACTTAAGAGGTAACCACACATTGATATTTCTCTCCCTCTCTAAAAATAAATAAATGAATGAATAAGTGAATGAATGAATGAATGAATAAATAAATAAATAAATAAATGAAATACACTCTAGCTTGCAAAACTATAATAGTTCGGTGTTTCTTTGAAAGAGCAACCAGAAATAATTAACATGATAAAAAACCTCTTTGGACTCATGAAAAAGAAAAAAGTAATCTCTTTACACTGAAAGTTACTCTCATGCTTTTTTAGTATCTGCATTAATTAATTTGTAACTTCAAAAGAAATATACTTTAAAAGTTATTATTCTTACTATGTTTCCTATAAAATAGAAGTTATATAATATGTTTTTTCTTTATCATGAGGTAGCATAATGTATTACAGAATTTAAAAGCTTAATTATGTCTTAGAGTCTGGGAGAGTTATTACTTTCAGGACAAAGTACTCACCAGGGTACAATGATGCCTTCTTCCAGCCTGCAAGTGAAAAAAATGATGATATATTATTACCCTTTCCTGAACCTTCTCATATCTTTTCCTTTCTTGTCATCACTGTCATTCCCTAAGTATTCAGAGTATTCCATAACACAGATAGACAGATAATAGATGATGATAAATCAATATTTGTTCCTTTTTTTCTCACAAACATGTGACAATTCTTTTCCTGAACTTAAAAATGATTGGGGTTTTTAGTGTGTACAAAAATGTAAAGTAAGAAAAAAGGGAAAAGCTAAAAGCAAGAGAAGAAAGAATACAAAAAGGAAGATATAAAATAAAGGAATGATACACACAGTGGTAGGTAGTTTGAGAAATAAAGATAGCAAAAAAGAGGGATGAAAAGCTGAAAGGAAAGGAAGTCAGAAAAAGGGTGGAGGAATAAAGAATTCAGAAGGGGTGAGAGGGTGAAACAGGGACAGAAGTCATGAGGTAATTAAAAGGAAAAGCTTAGGAAATATTCATTAAAACAATCATATTGGGAAAACAATATACTTGCTTTCCCATTTCAGTAGCAGGATAGTCCAAATTAGAAAAAAAAATGGGTTAACCATCCTTTACAGATCACTTCTACAAGAATGCAGGGAATAGTGTACTACTCAGGAATTTTCTGGGAATGGGGTTTAGTGAAGAAATCAGGTATCTTATTCTTTGTGAAAATTGACTCATGAAACAACTTCTGAGTTACTTACCATTCCTAAATTGAGCTTTTCTCTCACCTGGAAGAAGATACACTCATAAGTTAGGGTGGGATACTCAGAAAGACAAAGTTGCAGAAACAAAGACTTGCATTCATTGCAGGGATTCTCATAATCATCGCTGTCACATTAGCCAATCCATTGCTCTGCTCAGAAGTGTTTCTTATGAATACAATAAAGTTGAATCACGTGATCTTTAAGGACTGAATCAAGACAAACAAGTAAATTGCATGACATTTGGAATGCAGAGAGGAAATAAGGGAATGTCAAGGATGAGGGAAAGGATGAAGTGAGGCAAGGGATCACCAAGGGATGATACAATCATGCACATATTTTAACTATTAAAATACAATTACCAATTTCCTTTCGTAAGTTCCCTGAAAAAAAAAAAAGCAAAAATCCCCATGTTAATGTCATAGAGAAAAGAAAAAAAATCTTGTTTCCAAAGATTACAGGACAATGACATAAATTAGCTTATTAAAGGTTAAAAACCCCTCACTTTTTCTTTTAGGACGCTTACTGACAAACAAAAGATATTCCACATGTTTGCATAAATAAGTACAGTTGAAATATGCTACATATGCTACATAAATATGCTACAGTTGAAATTCAAAAAGGAAATGATCAAGTTCCCCAGTGAATTATTTTTGAACTAAGTTAGAGTACTAACATTAATAAATATTATCACCTACAATGATGTCATGGATACAACATCTATGCAACAGCAGCAACAAATTCTTCAATGCTTCCAACTTACATATTTGCTAAGAACTTTATATGATTAGATTAGTGAAGTGAATGCCAGCAAAACAACTGCTAAGTAGTGTTCCTGTTTGCAGAATAAAGATCTGGGAATCAAGGGGGGTCAATAACATGACAGAGTTCTTCTTGGTAAATGGGCAGGGTCATTATTTGAACCCATGTATGCTAAACTGCAAAACAAAGACTCCTGAATAGTATGCCATAACCCTCCACTCCTGGTCCAGCCAACGGAGGCTTCAATCACAAGGTGAGAACAAGGGCATCCCTAGTGAGGAACCACCTGTTGCACTTTTTTATTTTTAAAGAGTTTTTTTGCTGCATAGAAGAGTTTTTCTCTGAATCAGATTGTGGGCACAATAGGCACCATTAATAGCCCCTTCAAATACATTCTCATTTGAATTATACTCATCTCAGAGCTACAAGAACAGTTATTGTTAGCATCATAGAGATCGCTGAAAGACAGTACATTAGAAAAGGGGAAGGTGAATGGGAAAATTGAGTTACCTAATGGGAGAAGAACAAAGAAAGAAGTAGATATAAGAAGTTGTAATGCAGCACAAGGAATAAAAATCACAAAGGAGAAAATTATACAGAGAAAGTAGGAGCAATAAAAAATGGAAGAAGCAAATAAAAATCACTAGGAGAAGATCATATCTTGTCATCACAGTTTACCGTTTTCTTTCCTTAATTGATCTGAAAAATAAAAAGAATAACGTAAGACTCACTATGAAACAGACAAAAGACACTCATATCATAAATAATTATTAAACTTTATTTACCATTTTCGTTCCTATGTTGATCTGAAAAATACAAGGGGTAATACATGAATCTCTGAAACAGAAATAAAACAAACAAAACCCCTTTTCTCTTATTCAACATATAATAGGTAAGCCATTACAGAGAATAAAATGATATGTATTTTCTAGGTGTTTTACTAAAAAGTCTAATGGAGTCTAAATAAATAAAGCGGTAAAACAGATAAAAATATAAATTTAATGTGACAACTTAAAAATCCTTCAAACCTTCCCTAAGCATTTTTAGACATGATATCATCATTATCGTCATCATCACCACTACCATCTCCGGTACTAACACTGACTCTCATGGAGTGCTTTCTCCATATCAGGTTCTGATACATGTTTTGTGCAAGCAGCATCACATTTAATCATACAATTTCTCCCAAATTAAATTATTATATTTATGCAGATGAGCAAACTGAGAGTAGAGCAATATATTACTTGCTGATGTTTCCACAGGTACTTATATGGGAGTTTCAGTCTTATCCAAAGTTTCTCTGACATGGAAAAGATAAAGTTGTAGGAACAAAGACTTGTATTCATTGCAGGGTTCTCATAATCATCGCTGTCACATTAGCCAAGCCATTGCTCTGCTCAGAAGTGTTTCTTATGAATACAATAAAGTTGAATCACATGATCTTTAAGGACTGAATCAAGACAAACAGGCAAATTGCCTGATATTTGGAATACAGAGAGGAAATAAGGGAATGTCAAGGATGAGGGAAAGGATGAAGTGAGGCAAGGGATCACCAAGGGATGATACAATCATGCACATATTTTAACTATTAAAATACAATTACCAATTTCCTTTTGTAAGTTCCCTGAAAAAAAAAAGCAAGAACCCCATGTTAATGTCAAACATGAAAGGAAAAATCTTGTTTGGAACGATTATGGAACAACATAAAAGCTTAATAAGATTAAAAAACCTTCACTTTTTCTTTTAGGACACTTACTAAAAAAACAAAGAAAATATTCACAGGTTTACATAAATAAGTAATGCTACAGTTGAAATTCAAAAAGGAAATTATCAAGTTCCCCAGTGAATTATTTTTGAACTAAGTAAGCATACTAATATTAATAAATGTCATCACCTACAATGATGTCATGGATACAACATCTATGCAATAGTAGCAACAAATTCTTCAATGCTTCCGTCTTAGGTATTTATTAGGAACTTATTTTATTTTATTTTATTTTATATTATTCTTTATTGTTGTTCAAGTACAGTTGTCTGTATTTTCCTAGTCAAATGAATGCTAACAAAACAAACTACTAAGTAGTGTTCTTGGTTACAGAATAAAGATCTGGGAATCAAAGGGGTCAATAACATAACAGAGTTCTTCTTAGTAAGTAGGCAGAGCAATTATTTGTAAACTCCCTTGACCACTCGACTTAGGAAGCAGGAAAGCAAGATGTAGCAGTGATATGGAGCTTTCTCTTAGCGGTTTGAAAGAATGCAGAAGGACTCCCACCAGCCCACCATGAGGATGCAGGTTAGGATTATGAACCAGGAGTCTAGCTGAGCTAGGGACTTCTATTTCTTTTTTCTGAGATACGGTACCTCTGCCTGGCCTGACTGGGCAAAGTGGGGAAGGCAGGACTGTGTGTGTGTTGGTGGGTGTTTTAAAGGAAGTGTAAGTGTGGGATTTTTTTTAACAGCAACATTGTGCTACTACTCTAGATCTGTATAACTTTTGAATAAATAGTTCCTTTCCTTTTCACCAAACTCTAGCATTGAGAACCATAATTTCTAACACCTAGAGGTGAGGAAAGATGAACCTCTCCAGAGAGACCCTGGGGAATGGGTTCCCTTTCGGTAACAGGATCTGTGCCCCGCCCCCACCCCCAAGGGTCCTCCTTTCGTGTAACAGAATTATTCCCTGAAGAATTTTTAGACATGACATCATCATTATCGTCATCATCACCACTACCATCTCCAGTACTAACACTGACTCTCATGGAGTGCTTTCTCATATCAGGCTCTGATACATGTTTTGTGCAAGCAGCATCACATTTAATCATACAATTTCTCCCAAATTAAATTATTATATTTATGCAGATGAGCAAACTGAGAGTAGAGCAATATATTACTTGCTGATGTTTCCACAGGTACTTATATGGGAGTTTCAGTGTTATCCAAAGTTTCTCTGACATGGAAAAGATAAAGTTGTAGGAACAAAAACTTGCATTCATTGCAGGGTTCTCATAATCATCGCTGTCACATTAGCCAATTAGTCACATTGCTCTGCTCAGAAGTGTTTCTTATGAATGCAATAAAGTTGAATCACATGATCTTTAAGGACTGAATCAAGACAAACAATAAATTGCATGATATTTGGAATGCAGAGAGGAAATAAGGGAATGTCAAGGATGAGGGAAAGGATGAAGTGAGGCAAGGGATCACCAAGGGATGATACAATCATGCACATATTTTAACTATTAAAATACAATTACCAATTTCCTTTTGCAATTTCCCTGAAAAAAAAAAGCAAAAATCTCCATGTTAATGTCATAGAGAAAAGAAAAAAAAATCTTGTTTCCAAAGATTACAGGACAATGACATAAATTAGCTTATTAAAGGTTAAAAACCCCTCACTTTTTCTTTTAGGACGCTTACTGACAAACAAAATATTCCACATGTTTGCATAAATAAGTACAGTTGAAATATGCTACATATGCTACATAAATATGCTACAGTTGAAATTCAAAAAGGAAATGATCAAGTTCCCCAGTGAATTATTTTTTGAACTAAGTTAGAGTACTAACATTAATAAATATCATCACCTACAATGATGTCATGGATACAACATCTATGCAACAGCAGCAACAAATTCTTCAATGCTTCCAACTTACATATTTGCTAAGAACTTTATATGATTAGATTAGTGAAGTGAATGCCAGCAAAAACAACTGCTAAGTAGTGTTCCTGTTTGCAGAATAAAGATCTGGGAATCAAGGGGGGTCAATAACATGACAGAGTTCTTCTTGGTAAATGGGCAGGGTCATTATTTGAACCCATGTATGCTAAACTGCAAAACAAAGACTCCTGAAATAGTATGCCATAACCCTCCACTCCTGGTCCAGCCAACGGAGGCTTCAATCACAAGGTGAGAACAAGGGCATCCCTAGTGAGGAACCACCTGTTGCACTTTTTTTATTTTTTAAAGAGTTTTTTTTTGCTGCATAGAAGAGTTTTTCTCTGAATCAGATTGTGGGCACAATAGGCACCATTAATAGCCCCTTCAAATACATTCTCATTTGAATTATACTCATCTCAGAGCTACAAGAACAGTTATTGTTAGCATCATAGAGATCGCTGAAAAACAGTACATTAGAAAAGGGGAAGATGAATGGGAAAATTGAGTTACCTAATGGGAGAAGAGCAAAGAAAGAAGTAGATATAAGAAGTTGTAATGCAACACAAGGAATGAAAAATCACAAAGGAGAAAATTATACAGAGAAAGTAGGAGGAATAAAAAAATGGAAGAAGCAAAGTAAAAATCACTAGGGAGAAGATCATGTCTTGTCATTACAGTTTACCATTGTCTTTCCATAGTTGATCTCAAAAATAAAAAGAGTAATATAAGAATCACTATGAAACAGAGAATAATACAGTCATATCTCATAAATAATCACTGAACTTTATGTGGCATTTTTGTTCCTATGTTGATCTGAAAAATTACAAGGGAGCAATACATGAATCATCGTGAAACAGAAACTAAAACAAACAAAACCCACTTTTCTCTTATTCAGCATATATAGTCATACAGAAAATAAAATGATATGTATTTTCTAGATGTTTTACTAAAGAAATCTAATGGAGTCTACTTATGTCAAAAGTGGTAAAACAGATAAAAAATTTAAATTTAATGTGACAATTTAAAAATTCCTTCTAATTATTCCCTGAAGCATTTTTAGACAGGATGTCATCATTATCGTCATCATCACCACCACCATCTTCAGTATTAATGCAGACATCTCATGGAGTGCTTTCTCCATATCAGCCTGTGTGTTACATGCTTTGTGCAAGCAGCATCACATTTTAATCATCACAATTTCTCCCAAATTAAATTAGTACATTTATGCAGATGGGCAAAGTGAGAGTAGAGCAATATATTACTGGCTGATGTTTCCACAGGTACTTATTTGGGAGTTTCAGTCTTTATCCAAAGTTTCTCTGACATGGAAAAGATAAAGTTGTAGGAACAAAAACTTGCATTCATTGCAGGGTTCTCATAATCATCGCTGTCACATTAGCCAAGCCATTGCTCTGCTCAGAAGTGTTTCTTATGAATACAATAAAGTTGAATCACATGATCTTTAAGGACTGAATCAAGACAAACAGGCAAATTGCCTGATATTTGGAATACAGAGAGGAAAAAAGGGAATGTCAAGGATGGGGGAAAGGATGAAGTGAGGCAAGGGATCACCAAGGGATGATACAATCATGCACATATTTTAACTATTAAAATACAATTACCAATTTCCTTTCGTAAGTTCCCTGAAAAAAAAAGCAAGAACCCCCATGTTAATGTCAAACATGAAAGGAAAAATCTTGTTTGGAACGATTATGGAACAACATAAAAGCTTAATAAGATTAAAAAACCTTCACTTTTTCTTTTAGGACACTTACTAAAAAAACAAAGAAAATATTCACAGGTTTACATAAATAAGTAATGCTACAGTTGAAATTCAAAAAGGAAATTATCAAGTTCCCCAGTGAATTATTTTTGAACTAAGTAAGCATACTAATATTAATAAATGTCATCACCTACAATGATGTCATGGATACAACATCTATGCAATAGTAGCAACAAATTCTTCAATGCTTCCGTCTTAGGTATTTATTAGGAACTTATTTTATTTTATTTTATTTTATATTATTCTTTATTGTTGTTCAAGTACAGTTGTCTGTATTTTCCTAGTCAAATGAATGCTAACAAAACAAACTACTAAGTAGTGTTCTTGGTTACAGAATAAAGATCTGGGAATCAAAGGGGTCAATAACATAACAGAGTTCTTCTTAGTAAGTAGGCAGAGCAATTATTTGTAAACTCCCTTGACCACTGGACTTAGGAAGCAGGAAAGCAAGATGTAGCAGTGATATGGAGCTTTCTCTTAGCGGTTTGAAAGAATGCAGAAGGACTCCCACCAGCCCACCATGAGGATGCAGGTTAGGATTATGAACCAGGAGTCTAGCTGAGCTAGGGACTTCTATTTCTTTTTTCTGAGATACGGTACCTCTGCCTGGCCTGACTGGGCAAAGTGGGGAAGGCAGGACTGTGTGTGTGTTGGTGGGTGTTTTAAAGGAAGTGTAAGTGTGGGATTTTTTTTTAACAGCAACATTGTGCTACTACTCTAGATCTGTATAACTTTTGAATAAATAGTTCCTTTCCTTTTCACCAAATTCTAGCATTGAGAACCATAATTTCTAACACCTAGAGGTGAGGAAAGATGAACCTCTCCAGAGAGACCCTGGGGAATGGGTTCCCTTTCGGTAACAGGATCTGTGCCCCGCCCCCACCCCCAAGGGTCCTCCTTTCGTGTAACAGAATTATTCCCTGAAGAATTTTTTAGACATGACATCATCATTATCGTCATCATCACCACTACCATCTCCAGTACTAACACTGACTCTCATGGAGTGCTTTCTCATATCAGGCTCTGATACATGTTTTGTGCAAGCAGCATCACATTTAATCATACAATTTCTCCCAAATTAAATTATTATATTTATGCAGATGAGCAAACTGAGAGTAGAGCAATATATTACTTGCTGATGTTTCCACAGGTACTTATATGGGAGTTTCAGTGTTATCCAAAGTTTCTCTGATATGGAAAAGATAAAGTTGTAGGAACAAAAACTTGCATTCATTGCAGGGTTCTCATAATCATCGCTGTCACATTAGCCAATTAGTCACATTGCTCTGCTCAGAAGGGTTTCTTATGAATGCAATAAAGTTGAATCACATGATCTTTAAGGACTGAATCAAGACAAACAATAAATTGCATGATATTTGGAATGCAGAGAGGAAATAAGGGAATGTCAAGGATGAGGGAAAGGATGAAGTGAGGCAAGGGATCACCAAGGGATGATACAATCATGCACATATTTTAACTATTAAAATACAATTACCAATTTCCTTTTGCAATTTCCCTGAAAAAAAAAAGCAAAAATCCCCATGTTAATGTCATAGAGAAAAGAAAAAAAATCTTGTTTCCAAAGATTACAGGACAATGACATAAATTAGCTTATTAAGGGTTAAAAAAACCCCTCACTTTTTCTTTTAGGACGCTTACTGACAAACAAAATATTCCACATGTTTGCATAAATAAGTACAGTTGAAATATGCTACATATGCTACATAAATATGCTACAGTTGAAATTCAAAAAGGAAATGATCAAGTTCCCCAGTGAATTATTTTTGAACTAAGTTAGAGTACTAACATTAATAAATATCATCACCTACAATGATGTCATGGATACAACATCTATGCAACAGCAGCAACAAATTCTTCAATGCTTCCAACTTACATATTTGCTAAGAACTTTATATGATTAGATTAGTGAAGTGAATGCCAGCAAAAACAACTGCTAAGTAGTGTTCCTGTTTGCAGAATAAAGATCTGGGAATCAAGGGGGGTCAATAACATGACAGAGTTCTTCTTGGTAAATGGGCAGGGTCATTATTTGAACCCATGTATGCTAAACTGCAAAACAAAGACTCCTAAATAGTATGCCATAACCCTCCACTCCTGGTCCAGCCAACGGAGGCTTCAATCACAAGGTGAGAACAAGGGCATCCCTAGTGAGGAACCACCTGTTGCACTTTTTTTATTTTTTAAAGAGTTTTTTTTGCTGCATAGAAGAGTTTTTCTCTGAATCAGATTGTGGGCACAATAGGCACCATTAATAGCCCCTTCAAATACATTCTCATTTGAATTATACTCATCTCAGAGCTACAAGAACAGTTATTGTTAGCATCATAGAGATCGCTGAAAAAACAGTACATTAGAAAAGGGGAAGGTGAATGGGAAAATTGAGTTACCTAATGGGAGAAGAGCAAAGAAAGAAGTAGATATAAGAAGTTGTAATGCAACACAAGGAATGAAAATCACAAAGGAGAAAATTATACAGAGAAAGTAGGAGGAATAAAAAATGGAAGAAGCAAGTAAAAATCACTAGGGGAAGATCATGTCTTGTCATTACAGTTTACCATTGTCTTTCCATAGTTGATCTCAAAAATAAAGAGTAATATAAGAATCACTATGAAACAGAGAATAATACAGTCATATCTCATAAATAATCACTGAACTTTAGTGGCTTTTTGCTATGTTGATCTGAAAAATTAAAGGAGCAATACATGAATCACCGTGAAACAGAAACTAAACAAACAAAACCACCTTTTTGCTTATTCAACGTATACATATTTTCTAGATGTTTTGCTAAGAAATCTATGGAGTCTGCCCTTATGTCAAATGGTAAAACAGATAAAAAATTTAAATTTAATGTGACAATTTAAAATTCCTTCTAATTATTCCCTGAAGCATTTTTAGACAGGATGTCATCATTATCGTCATCATCACCACCACCATCTTCAGTATTAATGCAGACATTCATGGAGCGCTTTCTCCATACCAGCCTGTGTGTTACATGCTTTGTGCAAGCAGCATCACATTTTAACATCAAATTACTCCCGAACTAAATTAGTACTGTTATGCAG